GGGGGGAAGGCATTGGGGGAGTCTACATCTCTGCACCTCAGCTCCACCCTCTTCTCCACTGCTGCCTGATGAGGCAAGAGGAGGGCACAGCAAAAGCAGGAAGCCACGAGGGGCCCCACAGGTCCCACTTCCTGCCTCACTCAGAAAAGAGGAAGGTGCAGAATTCACAGCCTCCTCCCAAGATGGGGTGGTGGGTTTCCGCTGCCCAACGCTGCTGTTCAGGGGAAGGGAGAGGCTATAGTGAGGTGGTGGGGAGGGAGAAAGACAAAGGTGTGATCCAGGAAGGTTCAGGCCCGGAAAACAAGCACCAGTGGCTGAGCAAAAATTCTGTTACTCTCTTAGGCTCAGAGAGCCCAAGTAACTTCCCTAACATCACACAGCTCGTTAGCAATGGAGCCAGGAGTCGAACCCAGGTGACCTTACTCCAGAGCCCATCTAGACGGAGAGAGATTTTAATGAAATTCCTGGGCTTATGGTGGCTCATGCCTGTAATCCCAGCAGCACTTTGGGAGGCTGAGGCAGAAGGATCACTTGAGTCCAGGAGTTCAAGACCAGCCTGGGCAACAAAGTGAGACCCTATCTCTATAAAACATAAAAAAAACCAAAAAGTAGCAGGGCACAGCGACACCTGCCTGTAGTCCCAGCTACTAGGAGGCTGAAGCGGGAGGATCCCTTGAGTCCAGAGGGTTGAGATTGCAGTGAGTTATGACCGTGCCACTGCACTCCAGCCTGGATGACAGAGCAAGACCCTGATTCAAAAATAAAAATAAAAAATAAAAAAAGAGCCCAGGGAGGGCAAGGTCACAGAGGGACCTTGGGGTAGAACAAAAACTGGCGCTCCACTATCTCCAGGGCCTCAATAGATGGAGGAGGCAGTGACCTTTCTCTAGGAATGCGGAAAAGTGTTACCTTCTCGGGGACTCGGGCCCACGCCTCCACCCCACCCCAGCCTGGTACCTTGGCCCCAAGGCGTAGCTGGTCAATGGTGTTCTCAGCTTCAGCATACTTCGTGAGGAGTCTGTGGTAGTCTTCCTGAAAAAAAGGGAGCAGCATCATCACATGCCTGGGCACACAACGTACACCTGCTTGCTGGGGGACCCTGGCAGCAAACCCTCCTCCACGAGGGCTTCTGGGTTCCTGAGCGGACAGCATTCCACGGTGGGATCCAAGCTAAGCAATCCTCAGGCCCGTGTGCAACACAGACCCACCACGTTCAAGCAGGATGACACTCCTAACCCCTGACAATGAGTCTAGACTGAGGGCGTCTGGCTGGTTTACCATGATACATAACCCATATCACAGAGGGCTGCCAGTTTCATCTATCCAAATTCCCTGTCCACGTGTCGCCTCTGTGGGGTGAGGCCCATATCTGCCAGTGCTCAAGCAGTATGTGCTTAAATACTTTTTTCAATGGCTAATTGAATGAATCACCCAAGTCTCATGGCAGAGAAACAGAAGACTTGAAAATCACGGTTCCACCCAATCAGAGTCACCTGTCTTAAACAAATCCAAAGAGCTTTAGGAAGACAGGTCATTGCAGGAAAAAAGGAAAAACATGTCACCTGTGGTGGATATGAGGAACTGACTCCTTCTGATAACGGGTCAGTAACGGTAACAGTAAAAGGACAGAATGCAGCCTCTCACTGGCCTTTCCCATACAAACAAGAACTTGGTAACCAAGTAGTTGATGAGGGACATTTTTATCTTTTAGCATATTTCCAGCAATGAATGCAGGAGTGAGAGCATTAGCATACTACCACTTTGTCACCCCCAAATGAAAGACTGGACCAAGACGGTGACCATCAGAGGCTGTCAAAATCACAGACAAGAGGCCAGCAGGCATCCTGTGCCTGCTGAAGGAGGCACACAGGCCACCTGGGATGTGTTCTTGCCAAAACTCCCTACGCCCACGGAGCTCGTGGTCTGGAGGGGAAATACTCATGTAAACAGGTAATTACAGCCCCCAAAGCCTCTAGCTTGAAACCTACCAATATTCCAAAAAAAGAGGACAATGGGACGCATGAAGAGACACCACAGCACATCGGCAAAGCCCAGAATGCAGACGACTCTGCTGGACTGACCGATTTCCTCAACAAATGAATTGCACGGCAGAAGTAAGAAGGAGGACAGACTAAGAGAGTAAGAGAGACTTGAAAAAATAAATGCAAGAAAGAAAGAAAGAAAAAGAAAAAAGCAGAGACTTGAAAGGCACCAAATGCAATATACAAGCCATGTTTGGATGCTGAAGCCCACAAATGGACCCAATAAGCCATTTATGAGACATGGAGAGGTGTGGCTGGCGGATTTGATATTTGTTAATATTTAAGGATCTGGCGTTAACATTTAGGTGATAATGGTATGTGGTTGTGTTTAAAATAAGGTCTTTATCTTTAGACATATACACACGAACATATTTTTAGATAAAAGAATTTGGATGCCCGAGATTTTGCTTCAAAATAACCTAGTGGGGGTGAATAGGGGAGAGGTCAGGCCACAGATGAGAAAGGTTTTTGGGAGATGCTCATTGTGGTTGCCAGGGGGTAGGTAATGGGAGTGCATTCCACGATTTTCTCTCTTGTATATATTTTAATTTTTTCAAAGGAGAAGTTGAAAATAAACAAGCAGATCATCCTTGAAACATAAGTACATCCCTGCTCTTTTCGATCAAAGGGTTTGGGTCTATCTCAGGGCTCCAGGCACACCCTCCCTCTACCAGCAGGGAGTTCCTGGCCCAGACCCCAGGCCTCCCCACGCCAGCCAGCCTCTACCCCAGGGCTTCCCACCCCAGCCAGCCTCTACCCAGGCCTCCTCACCCCCACTGGCCTCTACCCAAGGCCTCCCCACCCCACTGGCCTCTATTCCAGGGCTCCCACCCCAGCCAGCCTCCACCCCAGGCCTCCCCACCACAACCAGCCTCTACTCCAGGCCTCCCCACCCCACCGGCCTCCATCCCAGGGCTTCCCACCCCAGCCAGCCTCTACCCCAGGCCTCCCTACCACAGCCAGCCTTTACTCCAGGCCTCCCTACCCTAGCCAGCCTCCACCCCAGGCCTCCTCAGCTCAGCTAGCCTCCTCCCCATCCCAGTCAGCTTCTATCCCAGGCCTCCCCACCCCAATTAGCCTCCACCCCAAGCCAACAGGGGCCTTGGTGACACACCCACAGCCATGAGTCTCACTAACCTGGAGCTGATGAACAAGCTCAGTGGCTTGCTCAGGCGTCTGAAATTCTTGTGGTACCCTGGTGATGGGATGGGCAGGAGGCATGTCCTTCCCCAGGGCTGCTTCTCCACTGCTCAGCAGCACCTCCTGCACAATCTCGGCTGGTGACTTGAAGATGAGGGGCCGGGCAGGGGCCTGAGGCTGCCTGTTATGGCTTCTAGACTTGGGGGGACGGTAGCTCTCATCTTTGGGGAATCTCACCCGGGGCCCTACCTTGGAGAAATCAGGGAGTGGGTAGTTCAGCTGCCCCCGGCCATACTTGGGGGCATTAGAAGAGGACCGGCCAGCCAGAGTGGCTCCCTGTCTGGGCAGCGGCCTGCCCTGCCGGATTGGCCTGGGCTGAGGATTCAGGGGGCTGATGGAGCCAATGAATCGGGAAGGGAGTGGCTTAGGTGATGTCTTTGTCAGCTTCCAGATGTGTTCCTCGGGCTGCGGGCAGGCAAATCTGGTCGTTTCTCTCCTCCATCTATCTGCGGCACGCTGTGGACTCTGGGCTGGGGGAGCCGAGGAGTCCTGGAATTCCATGAGGGTTGCCTGAGCAACACTGCCTCCAGTTCTGTCATCTGGGTGCAGGAGGTGGTGGCTGGGGCTCTCTGGCAAGGTTTCCGCCAGGGCAGTGGGCGGGGAGCCATCGATCTCTCCTTCCCAAGTGGAATCAAGGCTGTCACTAGGGTGGTCGAGGCTCACAGTCCCACTGCTCCAGGACCTTGCCGGGCTGAGCTCAACGGATGGGTTGACCTCGGAATGTTCGGAAAGTTTGTCTCCACCGGCTTGTTCGCCAGAAGCCACCCAGCCCCTGACCTGACCCTGCCTCAGAGCCATGGGGCTGGTGTTTCCATGGCCCTCCAAGCTGAGACCAGCCTCATACCCCAACCTCAGGCAGCTCTCTCCCGCATCCTCCACCTCCGGACTTCCGAGGGTCCTATCTGGCTCCTCCTCAGTCATGTCCAGCTGATGGCCCTGCGGGGGGAGCCAGGCGAGGGGCTTGTGGGAACTTGCGGGGCTGTCCGCATCCTCTGCTTCAGCCTCTGGAAAGACAGGCCGTCCACTTCTTAGCATGTACCAGGTCTGCACCCACCATGTAACTTACCTAAGTCACTTCGACTCTCTGGCTTCCGTTTCCTCATCACATGGGGATGGAAGGATTCCCAAGGAGCCCCATACACAGCCAAATGCTTGTCTGATACTCCCTCTGGTTGCTCAGAGGTCCTTCCAACTCCAACTCAAACCCAAACTTGGTGGGTGGTGCCTCCAGTGTGTCCCATCTCAGCAGACGACACCACCATCCCCTCCAGGCGTACAAGCCAGAAGCCTGAGATGCATCTTTGCCATCTCTCTCCCTCTAACCCCCTGGATCCAATCTGTCACCTGGTCCTGCCCCATTACCTCCTGTAAAAATTGCAAACTCATCTACTGCTCTGAGGTCCACCACTGCTGCCTTGGCTGGCGCCCCATTCTCTCTGGTCCGGCCAGCTGCAGTCAGTAGCCACCTAATCCTCTCCATCCTCACCTGCATCCCCATCTGAAAACTCATCCACGTCTTCCTGTGGAAGAAAAACAGAACCTTCCCTAAGGTCCTGCCATTCCAGCCCCATTAGCTGTCCCGATCCATCTCTCCATAGCCCCTCAAGCTCCCCCTACTCCTGCTCTGTGCACACCATGCTCCTCCCACCACGGGGGTTATGTGTGTGCGCCCCCCTCTGCGGGGGAGTCTCTCCTTTCCTTGGCCTAGTTAACTCCTATCTGTCCTGCAGGCATTCGCTCAACCTCGGCCTCCTCAAGGAAGTCTTAGGTCTCCCTGACTAGGTCAAGTTCTCCCTTTTACAGGTCCTGGTAGGACTGGCTACCTCTACTTTGTACTGCTTATCATAGCAACAGTTTTCCATTTATGTTTCACTGACATTCGTCTCCCCCACTATACTGCAAGCTCTAGGAAGGCAAGGATGCTCTCTGTTTTTGTTCACAATTGCATTTGCAGTGCTGGTACCCGACACTATTTGTTGACTGAACAGAAGGAAGGAGAAAAGGGGAGTGAGTGAGGAAGGAAGGGAAGGAAGGAGGGAGGGAGGGAGGGAGGAAGGTAAGGTATATAAAACTCCCAGGAAGTAGACAGTTATTGTAGTTATTACGGAGTGGGTACTCAAGAACTATTTATCCATCCACCCACCCATCTATCCTACCATCCTTCCTTCCAACATCTATCCAATATCTACTGACCCATTCACCCATCCGCCACCCACACATCTATCCCACCATCCTTCCTTCCAACATCTATCCAATATCTACTGACCCATTCACCCATCCACCACCCACACATCTATCCCACCATCCTTCCAACATCCATCCATCATCTACCCACCCATTCACCCATCCATCATCCATCACCCACCACCCACCTGTCCATTCATCCATGCATCTAACCACCATCCATGCAGTCATTGTTTCTGGAGCACCCACTCTGCTCTAGGCCCCCAGGTTAACCTCTGGGATCATCCAAAGATTCATGAGACACAGTTTGGATACCACCAGGCACAGACTCTCTGTTCAGGCAGGTGCATCACTGTCTCACTCTCTGCTCCTCCATGCTCTTCCCTTACCTTGATGCCTCTGTGTCCCTTAACAGCTCCTCCAGCAAGTTACTCTTGCTTACAGCAGCACACCTGAACATTAGGTCAGTTGCCAGTGATCACCCAGTGGTTCCCTGGACCTAGGACCCAGGCCCCAGCCATGCAGGTGAGTTTGCTTCCACCACTAGGGGTCATACACTAGAGGTGAAGGGCCTGGGCTTTGGAGCCAGGGAGCCCTGGTTTCAGTCCTGGCTCCTAGGACCCCTCACTGGGGCCATAGACAAATTGTTGAACCCTCTGGCAATCCACAGTCAAACTTGAGGCTGGTTCCTCCTACCTGACAGAGGGTGGTGAGGAGGGAACAAGAGGGGGCTTGACCCTGCCCAGCCCTGTGCCTGGCACATAGTAAAGGCACAGGACAGGGTAGCAGCTGTTACATCATAGCAGGGGTTACCATGTGACCCCAGGAAGAGATGCCTCTGCCCTGTTGGCCCAGTGCATTTCTCTCACCATGTCCTGCTGGAGAGAGAGCTCAGAAATGGCTCCTGAGTGGGCAGCAGTGGGCAATGCCCACTTTGAGCAGATCAGGTGTGTAAAACTTTGAGTAATGATGCAATCCACACCAGCCTGCAGGAGTCACAGGACCCTAAAACAGCGGCATCTCACTCATAATCTAAGTGCAATAGCCACCTTGTGTCAAGCTCTTACTATTCTCCGCGACACTATTCCTCTCATTTTATAGAAGGAAAAAGCAAGATTCAGACAGAAGGGACTTGCTAAGCAACACTAGGGATTCAGTTTAAGTCAGTCTGGATGCAGCCAGAACACAGTTATTGTAGAAAACAAGAAATCTCAACGTTCTCACTGCTGATTGGGATTTTTTAAAATCTTAAAAGTGGCCAGACATGACGGCTCACATTTGCAATCCCAACATTTTGGGAGGCCAAAGCGAGAGGCTTGCTTCAGGCCAAGAGTTTGAGACCAGCCTGGGTAACACTGTGAGACCCTGTCTCTACAAAAAATACCAAAATTAGCCAGGTGTGGTGGCAACTCGGGAGGTGGAGTTCTGAGGATTGACAGAGCCCGAAAGGTCGAGGCTGCAGTGAGCCCTGATCCTGCCACTGCACTCCAGCCTGGGCAACAGAGTAAGACTCTGCCTAAAAAAAAAAACAAATCCAAACTGGACATAACCCTGGGACTAAGTAATTCAAATTACCAAAGATATGATAATCAAGTGTGCAAAGATATATTAGTGACGTTCATCTCTGCATTATTTATAATAGCAAAAACTAGAAACTGCTACAATGTCCAGCGATAGGAGACGGGCCAATTAACCACGGAATATCCACACCATGGAAGTCCAGGCCAATTAACCACGGAATATCCACACCATGGAAGTCCAGGAATCACTTGTGGGAGAGGATCTGATGAGCTAGAAAAATGTTCACATCTGTTAAGTTAACAAAAAAGCAGGTTACAATGAAGTATGTAGAAGACTGTTCCATATTTATGTTACATTTGCATATCTATACATATGGAAAACAGCGGTGATCTGGGGATGGATAATTTTAAATTTTAAATTTTACCTAATTTTAATTTTAAATTTTACCTAATTTTTGGCTTATATTTTCTGATTATCCTGCAATCAGTGGTATTATTTATAAAATTTAAATCTTAACAAATTTTAAATGATAGACTTTGTAGAATTTAATAAAATGTTGAAGCAGCCTCCACTCCGTTCCCCCGCTAGAAGTGCGATGTCTCGGGGGCAGGACACCACTGTTGGAGGCGGGGGGTCCGTCTCACCTGCTCCCGAAGTCTCTCCTGACTCGGAATCCTGATGCCCATCAGGCTGCGGGTGTGGGTTCCACTCCAGGGGTGGCCGGTGCTGCTGGGCCAGGCGGAAGTCCTCCAGGAGCTCGGGGCTGGTGGCATTGGGAAAGAGTCCCTCTTCTCCCCAGCTTTGTGAACCACTTCTAGCCACGTCCCTCTTGTCCTCGGCCCAGGCCCAGCGCCGCCGCTGGGGGCCCTTCCCCAGGCCAGGCTCAGCCCAGTGGATCTCAGTCCCCGAGCTGGCCATCGGGACTGGCCTGGGCTTCACCTGGGCCACTTCATCTTCAGGAGAAAGAGCTGCAGCCGGGGGGCCCCAGAGTCACCGCTGGCTCCTATCAGCATTGGCCATCCTGCCTGTGCCCTGTCAGGGACACATTTAAGGGATAACATTAATCAATCCTGATCCCCTCTTTTATTCGGAACAAGAAGTTTCCAGCAGGAACTCTGGAATTAGACAGCCCTGGTTCGACTCCTGGCTGCGTCCTCCCAAAGCTACGTGACCTTGGGCAAATCACTCTACCTTCATTTTCTTCATCAATAAAGCTGGAATCATAATTCCTCTCTCCTTCCAGGGTTTTCTAAACTAGATGAGACATAGGATAAGGAGCCCAGCGGCCGGTACACTGACCAATTTTCTATTCAGTGACTGGCCAATTTTCTATTGCATCTTTTTAGAAAATCATTTTTGAAAATATTCTAATACATGTAATATATTAGCATGACATGTTCAAACAAATATATTTTTATTGATGGGTTGTGTGATTAAAAAAATATTGGGGGACCAGCAGGCCAATGCATGCTAGCTAGTGTTACTGAGTACTGGCTCTGCGTGTGGGCATGGGGCACAGGCCTTGCTCACAGGAGAACCGATGCCCCAGGAGGAAGCAGACGCAACACCAGGCAACTAGAAATCCAGGTGAGACGTGCTGGAGGAGGCACAGGGGCTGCCTGACACAGGCCAGAGAAGTCAGGTGATGCCAGTTTAGAAGTCAGTTCCTCTGGGAATCTCTGCCCTCACCCGGGTAAGAATTCAGATTGAGAGGTGGGTGGGGGGAGACAGTGAAAAGGGCATTCCAGACCAGGTATGGTGGCTCACGCCTATAATCCCAGCATCATTTTGGGAGGCTGAGGCGGGCAGATCACTTGATCTAGGAGTTCGAGACCAGCCTGGGAAACATGGCAAAACTTCGTGTCTACAAAAAATTAGCCAGGTGCGATTGTGCACACCTGTAGTCCCAGCTACTCTAGAGGCTGAAGTGGGAGGATCACTTGAGCCTGGGAGGTTGAGGCTGCAGTGAGCCATGACTGCACCCCTGCACTCTAGGCTGGGTGACAAAGTGAGATCCTGTCTCAAAGGAAAAAAAAAAGGCAGCATTCCAATACCCAACATAATTGAAAACAGGCACTCAAACAAAAAGGAATGAAGTCCTAACACACAGTACAGTCTAGATGAACCTCAAAAACGATGCTCAGTGAAAGACGCCAGACACCAAGGCCACCGATGGTGTGATTCTATGGATAGGAAACGTCCAGACAAGGTAACTTCTTGGAGAGTGAAAGCAGATTGGTATTTGCCAGGGCTGGGGGAGAGGAGAGTGGCACTGCCTGCTTGCTGGGTATGGGATTTCCTTTCGAAGTGATGGAAATGTTTTGCAACTCGATAGAGGTGGCAGTTACACAATATTGAAGGTACTCAATGTCGCTGAATTGTTCACTAAAAATGGTTAGTTCTATGTTATGTGAATTTCACCTCAGTTTAAAGAAAAAGCCTTCCAAGTTTGGGGACCTGGGGGTGGAGAGCGAGCCTGCCAGGGACTTTCCTGGACCCGGCCGTGGTTTCCCTGATGATGACGGGGGTATTGAACACAGGGAGAGCCCATCAGAGGTGTGGTTTAAAAGTTCCCCGTTCCCCTCAGGCAATTCTGGGAGAATGAGCAGGGGAACCTGACCGCACAGGGACCTGCCAGGCAGCTGCTGCAGGAACAGGGTGGCCAGAGAAGGGCTCCTCCACTGCCTTCCCTCAATCCTCTCCTTCTTTCCCTCATTCCTCCTCCCTCTCATCTCCTTTTGCCTCTTCTTTCCCACTCTCTTGCTATTTCCCCAAGTACTTCTTCTATGCCAAGCACTGAGCCAGACCCAGGAAGTGCAAAGCTGACCCAGCCTGGGCATGGTCTCCCAGGGAGCTCCTGGCCATGGCCCATCAGCACAGCGGGCCCCCAGGGCAGCTTATTACAAAGGCCTTCTTCCACAGATGGGGAAACTGAGGTCCAGAGAGGGGAGAGGCCTTGCACAAGGCAAGGGTGAAAGTCAGCCTCCCAGCCCGCAGTCTGAGCTTTCTCCCCTGCATGCTATGTCGAAGGGAGTATGACTCCAGGCCTCCCAGGACAGAAAGTCTGTGTTTGTCCCTTTATCCTCGTGAGCATTTGGATCCTGCTTGATTTGTGTGGCTGAGAAAAGTCAGCAGGCAACTATTTTTGGACACAAAGTTCCCCAGGGAACAGATCAGCCCAGGAAAGGCTGACTTCTCAAGGGCTGGAGGAGGGAGGGACAGGGAACACCCTTCTTCCCTCCTTGGCTGCAACTCTGCTCCGTGGATGGGTGTTCGGGTTTCTATCCTCTGTTCCCACCCAGTCTTCCTCTCTACCCCCAAATGTAGAGCCCCAGAATTTCCTCCAGATGGCCCTGTGTATTATCCTCCAGCCCCATAGTCCCCACCACAAGTGATGAGCCCATTCAGCCCCAGCCTGGCTAGAAGCTTTACCTGTAAGTTCAGAATCTGCCCTCCCTACAAACATTAGGGTAGAACTTGGCTGAGATCACTCAGCTACTTCCTGCCAGAGCAAGACTTGCTACTGTCAGTTTTGGCCTAGTGGCCCACCAATATTTTTTTTAATCATACAACCCATCAGTAAAAATGTATTTGCTTGAATACATCATGCTAACATGGTACATGTATTAGAAAGAATAATTTCAAAAGGGATTTTCTAAAAAGATACAATAGAAAATTGGCCAGGCACAGGGGCTCACGCCTGCAATCCCAGCACTTTGGGAGGTCAAGGTGCGCAGAAAGCTTGCGCTCAGGAGTTCAAGGCCAGCCTGGGCCACATGGCAAAAGCCTGTCTCTACTAAAATTGAAAAGGAAAAAGGACATAAATACAGGCGACCCTTAACGACACAGTTTGAACTGCACAGGTCTACTTATATGTGGATTTTCTTCTGCCTCTGCCACCCCTAAAACAGTAGATCAATCCCTCCTCTTAAGTCCGCCTCCTCAACATGAAGATGACAAGGATGAAGACCTTTGTGATAATCCACTTCCATTTAATGCAAGTAAGGAGATTTTATCTTCCTTATGATTTTCTTCATATTTCCTTTTCTCTGGCTTACTTTGAGAAAACAGGACATAATGCATATAGCACATAAAATATGCATTAATCAACTGTATATGTTATCAGCAAGTCTTCCAGTCAATAGCAGGTAATTGATAAAGTTTTGGGGGAGTTAAAAGTTCTAAGCAGGCCGGGCGCGGTAGCTCACGCCTATAATCCCAGCACTTTGGGAGGCCAAGGGGGGTGGATTACAAGGTCAGGAGCTGGAGACCAGCCTGGCCAACATGGTGAAACGCTGTCTCTACTAAAAATACAAAAATTAGCCGGCTGTGGTGGTGCACACTTGTAATCCTAGCTACTCAGGAGGCTAAGGCAGAAGAATCATTTGAACCCAGAAGGCGGAGTTTGCAGTGAGCCAAGACTGTACCACTGCACTCTAGCCTGGGCTACAGAGCAAGACCATGTCTCAAAAAAAAAAAAGTTATAAGCAGATTTTTGACTGTTACGAGGGTTGGCACCCCTAACCCCTGTGTTGTTTAAGGGTCAACTGTATTTTATATTTTGTTTTATTTCATTTTACTGAGACAGGGTCTCAGTGTTACCCAGGCTGGAGTACAATAGCAATCAGGGCTCACTGTGGCCTTGACCTCCTGGGCTTAAGCCATCCTCAGCCTCCTGAGTAGCTAAGACCAAAGGTACACGCCACCATGCCTGGCTAATTCTTAAAAACTTTTTGTAGAGATGGGGTTTTGTCATTTTGCCCAGGCTGGTTTTGAACTCCCGGGCTCAAGTGATCCTCCTGCCTCAGCCTCCCAACGTGCTGGGATTACAGGCATGAGCCACCCACCCAGCTGGTCAACTGTATTTTAAATAGAAGCTCTAATCCTTGCTTCTCATACCTTCTGCAGGGCCTGTACCCCTCTTGGAAATCCCTGCCAGGGATCTTAAGCTTCAGCGGGCTTAAGAATCCTCTCAGCATGTAGTTTCCTGAAACAACCTGCGGACAGCCTGACTCAGTGGCCCTGGGATAGGGCCCAGGAATCTGCATTTTAAACCAGGGCCTCAAGCAGGGCCTGCCCTTTGAAGACTGCTAGGCCCCCTCGCTCCTGCAGTTACCAGTTAGGGCAGGTGGAGGAGGGGCTACCGTTTAGCTGCTGCTTTTCTGGTTCTGAAGCCTCTGCTGGGAAGGGGCCGGGGGAGGTATGTGGTTTTTGACTTTTTAAAGGGCTTTTTTTCTAGCTCTGCCACAGAGCAGCCTGCCCAATCACAGATGCCTCTGGGTGCACAAAGAGGAACATCCTGTCTTCTGGGATGACTCAGTCGTGGCAGAAATCTCACTGTAACCAGGGGAAGGTGCACGTCACAGGCAGCTGCGGTGACTGGCTGGAGTTTTGCACTTGCCCCCAGGCGCCTACACCAGTGAGCCTTTCCAGAGCAAGGCCTCCATCTTCCATGCGAGCCACGGCCCTCAGCACCACAAGAGCCCCAGAACTGGCCGGTCAGCTAGTCAGTCAACAAACACACACTAGTGCGGACTACCTGCCAACCTCCGACAGGGATGATGCTGTGATAGAGAAGCAGGCTGGGCATCAGGGGACAGGTGCCAGTCCTGGCTGCTGTCACTCACCGCGTATGGCTGGGCTGGCATTTCCCTCACTGTAAAATAGAGAAAGTACCGTCTGCTCACCCTGCTAGAGTGGGTTGGGGAGCAGGGGATGGGACTCAAAGAACGCTGACATTCCTGGTTGACTCAGCTCCTAAGGGCAACAGCCTCAGAGCTGTTAGCCTCTCTCCTCCTCCCTGAGGTCACATTTCAAAGTACAAAGATACATACCGAGCACCTGGCAGGTGCAAATTAACTTTTTAAAAAAGCCTTATGACTTCCTACTACATACCAGGCACCACATAAGATGCAAAGAACGCAGAAAAGAGTAAAAGCGTTCCAAAATTTTGAATGGTGCAGGTTAGTGCAATACAGAAGTGTTACGACAGGAAGCTTTAAGGTGGGCTTGAGAAACGGTGAGGGTTTTGGGGGAGAAGATTGGGGAGGGCATTCCAGGCAGAGGGAACAGCATAGGCAGAGGTACGGAGGCCTGAAAGTATGACCTGACCTTGAAGAAGAGCTATGAGCAGGGGCCCTGAATGCCAGAAAAGGCGGCGTTGTTTCAGCCAGCCTTCCTTAGGGCAGCAAGGCTGCCCCTCAAAGGCATTGAGTGGGGTTTGGTGAAGACTCCAGCCATGTGAGCTGGGGGCTGACCACAGGACGGTCAGCTCCTTTAGGATGAAGTCCCCACGGGGAGGGCTGTGGAGCTCAGGACCCCTGCCATCCCTGGAGAAACTGGCCCCCCAGGAAGTAGCAGCCACTCCGCCCTCCTTCTGTACATCTCCTCACCCCCATGCCGCCCCTGCCCCTGCTCTCTCAAGGGTCTAACACACCCCCAAAGTGTCTATCTTCAGTTCCTGGGTGGGATGGACTCCTCTTCCCCGCCACCCACACAGGGCTCCTCTGCCCCCTCAGCCACGCCACAGCCAGCGACCCTTCCCTGTGTAGCTCGATCCCTCAGAACAGTCCAGACTCCCAGGTCCTCCTTCGCCAGCACAGCCACGCAGCCCGCACTGCCTCCCTGTGCCCTCTGCAACCCTTTCCCTCTGGCCAGGGCTGCCCAGGGTGCATCCCTGCTTCTAACTCACACCCCCATCCCGATACCTCCCAGATGAGGAAACTGAGGCACAGAGACGTGGCAGGCTCTCCGAAGACCTCACAGCCAGGAAGTGCAGCTGGAGGATTCAAAGCCCAGGTGTCGCAATTCTGAAACCAAGACTATCAGACACATAGGGGGCAGGGAGATGGGGAAAGAAGACCCCCGATATCAGTAACCAGGCCTTCCAAAAAGGCTGTGCTGTTGGCCTCCGCCATCCCACACCTCCAGTTGGCACAGACCTGCTTTTCTCAAGGGGTTCCACCAGCTGTGTGGACACTAGTCCCGCAAAGAAGCACCAGCCACTCCCCCTCTGTGTGTCCCCTCCCTGCCCCCAGCCCACTCCAGCAGCAGAGGCTGAGGAGAAAGAGAAACAGTGCCCTGTCTCTGGTCTTGCCACCCTCAAGAACTGAGCTGGGTCTGCTGGTCCACGGACCGTCCCTGGCTCCTCTCCTTGCCCTTACACAGCTGACATAAAGGACTGCTGCTTTGATGGGGAACCCCCCCCTGCTGCCACTGCCTCCTGGCCTGCTCCCCATCCTGGCATTGTCTCTGAGGCCCCTTAGCAACCAAGGACACTAACTCTCCAGGTGCAGATGAGGACACCCCAGGCACAGAGATGGACCTGCCTGTCCAAGTTCACAAGAGATCAGCATTAAAGCTGGGACTGGAATCTAGCATCCTGAGGCTTGACGAAATCCTCCTTAAATCCACGCTTGCCCTGGGGGGGCGGGCTCCCCTGAGTCAAGAGACAAGCGATGCAGCTCCAGCAGCTGCAACTTCCTGGCTGGGCTGGTCCGGCTGCCTGGGCTGTCCCAGCGTCAGTGACTGGCCCGTCCAGAAGGAAGGCAGCCTCCCGGGCCCTCCTCCGTTCCGACCCCTTACCTCTCTTGGGCTCCACCACGGTCCTCCCGGGCCAGTTTCAGGGGACCTGCCTTTGAAGTCTTTGTTCCAAACCCAGGGAGCCCCCTGCCTCCATTGCGCCCTGGCCCGCCTCCAGGCCGTTCTGCCAGCCCAGGCTGCTGCTCACACACCAGCATCCTCCCCACCTCTCCCCGCCCCTGTCAGCTGAGGCCGCCTCGCCTCGCCTCAGCAGGAAGCGCCCAGCCTGATTTCCTACAAGTGTTTGTCAGAAGGAGGGGGTTTGTCTGCGTGCAGAGCAGAGCCGGAGGAGCTTAACCCCTTACAAGCCCTCCGAAGGTCTGCGCTGCCCAGAAGAGGACTCAGGGAACAAACTCCTGATGTCCTGGGCTTGGGATCGTCTCAGCCCAGGCCCCGCAGGTACAGATGGGGACACTAAAGCACAGAGAAAGTCAGAGGCTTGGCTGAGGTCACACAGGATGCTGTAGCGCCTGCCCTCTAGGCCCTCTTCAACCAGGGCCTGACTGTGGCTGAGCCTCCTTCCCTCACTAGGCCTCAGGGCCCATCTGCCTGGCGAGAGCTCCGACTCAACCCCACTCCTGCCCTTCCAGCTCTGACTCTGCCAATGTGCAGTCTGAATCTCAGGGAGACCATGGTGATTCCTGCCATCTCAAGCCGCTGTCCTCGCCCCGAGGTGGTCCTGCAGTCAGAGTGGAACGTTCCGGACAGCATGGAGGCATGATACTGACAGATGAGGTAAACTTTCCCTGTGGGAAGAACCCTCCAAGGGTTCACCAGATGTTGGGAACAGATTGATCCTGACAGTCAATCAAAGCTGTCTTTTCTCAAGCCCCACCATCCCATTCCTTCATTCATAGGTACTCCCTGAACTGAGCTCCTACTGTGTGCCAGGTGCTTTTGAAGGTGCTGGGGATACGGCAGAGCCCAAGACAGACCAGGCCCCTGCTCTCCACTCTAGCAGAGACACGGACAATAACCAAGCACATGTATAATGTCAAGGGGAGAGCGGTGAGCAGTGAGACTCAGTGACCATCCATGTCCCAGGCCAGGCAGCACCGAAGCCTGGGGCTCACCTGGGTCGACAGAGTCAGTCTCTGGGCATCAGAGAGTTTAAGTGTCCCAGCTGACTGGCCCTGGTAGAGAACCCATGGGACCAAGAGTAATAGGTTGAGGAGAAGGGTTATGGATGGTCAGGAAGGTCTCTATGAGGAGGTGACATTCAAACAAGGCACTGGAAGGAAGATGGGCAAGAGCAAGCCACAAGAAGGGCTGGGCGGAGTGTTCTGGGAGGGCAAGTGTAAAGGCAAAGGTGGGGGAGCCAGCAGGCTTTCCCTGAGAACAGCAAGGCCTGTGCACCCGGGGCAGAGCGAGCCAAGCGGGAGAGGCGGGAGCTTTGCAGAAGATGAGGCAAAGGAGGACGAGAGGCTCTCAACACTGGCCCCACCCAGGACCCAGAGACTCTGAGTCAGGAAACAAGAAGAAAAAGGAAAAAAAAATCAGGCCTCTGTATTGTCCAAAAAGCCCTCCAGGTAGTTCTGATAAGCAGCCAGATTTGGGAACCATTCATGTAGGACAGAAAAAATCTTCAAGTCAGCGTGGACCCGGGTTCAAATCCCAGCCCCCTCTCTTGCTGGCTCTGATCTTCGAGTCAGCGTGGACCTGGGTTCAAATCCCAGCCCCCTCTCTTGCTGGCTCTGATCTTCGAGTCAGCGTGGACCTGGGTTCAAATCCCAGCCCCCTTTCTTGCTGGCTCTGATCTTTGAGGCTTCACCTCTCTAGGCCTCAGTTTCTTCATCTGTAAAATAGGGTTAAGAAGAGTAGCCACCCCACAGGGGCTGCTGTAAAAATTCGATGAGGCGACGCTCCCAAAGGCAGAGCAGGGGACCCAGAACACAGTCATGTATTGAGCTCTTTTATTTTTGCTACTACAACCACTGCTGCTACTTAGGTATAAGTCTCCGGTCTCCTCGAAGCCTGACACACTGTTCATGGCTGATGGATGTGTTCCATCAATGGATGAATTCACTAATGAGTGGACTTTCCCAAAGTCAGCTTGTAAGTAACTGGCAGAGCCAGGGCTAGAACCAGGAGCCCTCATCCTGGTGACCACCCACCCCTCTATCCACTTCCCTGCCTTTTACCCACATCTGGGTGGCAGGGCTCTCCTTGCAGCCCCCAGCCCCTCATTGAGCAGAGCCAAACCCTAATCAGGCCCCTCCCTGCCAGCTCTGGTGGCCATGTGTGCCATTGTGTGAGGGGCGGGCTCCCCTGACACCCCGTCACTCACTCCCCCTCCCTCCCTGGTCATTAATGCATGCAGCACTGCTATCAGCACCAGATGGCTGCCGTTGCTGGGCATGCCTGTGGCCCGCGGATAACCCCAAACCCATCTTAGGGGCAGCCACCTAACACCAAGAAGAACCGCCTCTGGTGCAGTCCGTTCCATTTCCTTGCACCCCCAAGCCAGACAAAAACTCCTCCCTGCCTCTCCTCAGGCAGCGCCCACCTCCTCCCTTTTTTGTTGAGCTGGAGTTTCGCTCGTGTTGCCCAGGCTGGAGTGTAATGACGAGATCTAGGCTCACCGCAGCCTCCACCTCCCGGGTTCAAGTGATGCTTCCACCTGGGCCTCCCAAGTAGCTGGGATTGCAGGCATGTGCCACCACGCCGGTTGATTTTTTGTATTTTTAGTAGAGACGGGGTTTCGCCATGTTAGCCAGGATGGTCTCGATCTCCTGACCTTAGGTGATCTGCCTGCCTCAGCCTCCCAAAGTGCTATGATTACAGGCGTGAGCCACCACACCCAGCTGCAGCACCCTCTCTTAGATCACAGTCCCCACCCACAGGCCAAATTCTACCAAACCGAAGCAGCATGTCCAAGACCGAGCTCCTAGTATACCACCCTCCAAGCCCACCCCTCCTTAGTTTGGCCCATCTTTCACCCAGGTACATACTGAGAATCAGCTGTCATCCTGGATGCTTCCCTTTCCCTTACATCCCGTAACCAACCCATCATCAACTCCTAGTGATTTCATTTCCTAAATTTCACCGGAATCTGTCTCCATTTCTGCATCCCCACGTGGGTCCCTGGATGGGCCTTGCCTGGAAAGCTCTAGGGTCCACTAATCCGTTCCCCACACTGCACCGATGCGATCTTCAAGATAGGAGTTTCCAAACTTGCCATGGCTCTGAGAAAGAAGAAGAAACTCCATGGGCTGGCCGCTGTTCCAGCCTCTTCTCCCGCCACCCTCTCTGCCCTTGCTTAGCATGCTTCTACCACACAGGCCTCCTTGATCTTCCTGGGACAGATGTGCCCTGCTCCTCCGCTCACTCAGTCCCGCTTCTTTTCCCTGTTAACTTGTAGGCAACCTGCAGACCTCAGCTCCAGAGTGCCCTCCTGAGGGACTCACCATTTGGAACTATATTTCATATGTGCTTATTTGACGAACGTCTGTCTCTTGACTCAGTTGGGAGCTCTGTGAGGCTCTCATTATCATATCCCCAGGACTCAGCACACAGACCCTGGTATAGAATAGAAATACAATAAATAGGGCTGGGCGCAGTAGCTCATGCCTATAATCCCAGCACTTTGGGAGGCCGAGGAGGGCAGATCACGAAGTAAGGAGTTCAAGACCAGCCTAACCAACATGGTGAAACCCCACCTCTACTGAAAACACAAAAGTTAGCCAGGCATGGTGGTGGTGTGTGCCTGTAGTCCTAGCTACTCGGGAGACCGAGGCAGGAGAATTCGCTTGAACCTGGGTGGCAGAGATTTCAGTGAGCCGAGATCACGCCACTGTACTCTAGCCTGGTGACAAGAACAGGACTCCATCTCAAAAAACAGAAAAAGAAATACAATGAATACATGCTGGATCATCCACTGAACCTAGCTATTTGCCCAAGCCTGACTCAGAGCCCTCCTAATAACCCAATGAGGCTAATATGACAACCCCATTTTACAGCTGGGCAAACAGAGGCCCCTAGAGCCCAAGCAGCTTTCCCAAGGTCACAATGCTAATGAGCTGCAGCAGAGTTTCAAACACAAAAAGACCCGGTTCCTAATGACCCAATTTGGTGGTCACAACATTGCAGCTCACAGAGAGTTAATATCTGTGCACGGTAAAATCAGGAGTAGAGTTTATTACCAACGAATTGCAATTCACAAAGCCAATGTTCTAATTGTATAGTGAGGCACGGGTTCCACACAGCGCCTTTTGGTTTCCCAAAATGCTTTCTTCTTCTTTTGAGGGCTAGATGCTCAAGAACAGAATGTCAAAGTGGGCAGAATAGGAGTCCTATTCCATTGTATAGGTGAGGGTGCTGAGGCCCGGATAAGGGAAGAGATTAGTTCCTGTTCACCCAGAAAAGAAGCAGCAACAAAAACCTCTGACGCCCACTGCCAGGGCTTGACGACTTTCACCAGCAACAGGCGTGCGCGTGGCTGCGTCTGCAGAACCCTGCCAGCCTTCCCACGGAGCCCAGCTCGCCTTCGGCCATTTACTCCCTCCAGCGTCTGGCTCATGACGTTCCCACCCCACAGGAGCCATTTCTCACCTACTTCCTCATCGCCTCACTGCTTCCTCATCGCCCACTCAACCATCCCTCCCTCACAACCTCCCTCCACAACCATTCCTGAGCCCCCCTTAAGTGCAAGCATATTAACCCATCTGGAAGGCAGCTCTTTCTTTAAGTCTTCAGGTGCAGCCCAGGACATACCCCTGGACTGGGCTGGGCCACACTTGCTGACGTGATGAACCCTGGACAGTCGCCCCTCACACCATGTCCCCCAGGAGCACAGACATGGTCTATGGGGGGGTCACCAGGCTTCTCTGCCACCCTAGTGGAAACCAGGAGCTAGAACTTCAGGAGCTCTGGGGGCTGACACCTGTGTTGCTCCACCCTCAGTCGCTCTTTGGGCTCCCTGTTGCTCCCTTCCCTGGAAAAGAAATGAAAACTTACCACAAGGTAACCCACTCCTTCCTGCCCAGAATGCTGCATTTACCCCGTAGTTAAAATTCACAGGGATGCTGGGTTCGGTGGCTCACGCCTGTAATCCCAGCGCTTTGGGAGGCCAAGGCGGGCAGATCACTTGAGGTCAGGAGTTCAAGACCAGCCTAGCCAACATGGTGAAACCCCATCTCTACTAAAAATACAAAAATTAGCCAGACGTGGTGGTGCACGCCTCTAATTCCAGCTAATTGGGAGCCTGAGGCACAAGAATCACTTGATCCTGGAAGACAGAGGTTGCAGTGAACTAAGATCATGCCACTATACTCCAGTCTAGTGAGACTCTGTCTCCAAAAAAAAAAAAAAAAAATTCCACAGGGAGTCTGGGGGAGAGAGGAGGCAGGTGAGGGTTTCAGGAGTGAACCAAGAAGAAGTGGTGAAGCCTGGCTTGGGAAGCAGAGACCCAAGTTCCAGCCTGAGTGCCCAGGAGCAAGCACCTTCCTTTCTCTGAGCTTTGGAACCTGGGCTTAATGCGATTGTCTCTGAGGTTATCAGAGATTATCTCCTAATGCTAACCCTCCTGGATTCTTCATGCCGTTTGCCCACACAGGCAGAAATGCCATGCTGACGGGAGGCTGCAGGGCACAGGTGTTAAGGCACACGGCCATTGTGGGCAAACAAAGAACTCCATGTTCTCCCTTGGAAGCTGTGTAACCTTGGGCAAGCTGCTTAACCTCTCTGAATCCCAGATTCCACATCTGTAACATGGGCCAATAATTACAGGATTCTTTGGATGACAAATGAGACTATGTGCCTAGAGTTCTTGGCCCCAGTGCCCAGCTGGCACAGGGTAACTGTTCACAAATAAATGGCCTTGCCTTTCCGTGAAACGCCCATATGACCTGCTCCCAGCAGGACTGAGTTTAATTTTCCTCATCCACAGCTTCCACAATCTCAACCCCAGCTCTAGCAATGAGTCCTGGACACAAAAAGGTAGAGGCAGTTTTCCCAAGTGGAGGGAGATGCTGACATTTCCTTGTGACCCTCTTCCCTGTGGCCCCTAAACCAACTCCAGGACTCACTGACCCAGCTAGAAATTCTGTCCTCACTCTGAGTAGCTAAGGAGCAGAACAAACAGCCCCTTCTCAGCCAACTGAGACAGGGTTATGAGGAGGTATGGCCATAGTGAGGAAAACACACACACACTCAAATTCACGCTCTTTCCAAAGAGTCCAACAAACAACAACAGAAAAAGCGTGCATGTGCCAGGAAGGTACTGCTTACAGCAAAACTTTACTGAACACCTATTATGTATCAAATACCGTAGAAAAGCCTTTCCATGGATTCAGATCTCATTATTTAATCCTCATACTCATCCAAGGAGGGAAATCATTATGCCCATTTTATTTTATAGGTGAGGAAGCTGACTTGAACCCAGACAGTATAATCTTCATCACTTGCAACTGAAATTTGCACGAGGTAAAACGATTGGAAAACGGTCACAGTCTCCAGTAGCAGGTGATCATTGAAAGAAACTGACATTTCCACTCAAAGGAATAATATTAGCAGGCGTTAGCATCATGCTATTGAAGAATAGCAAATAATGTAAAAATGTTGCTATGTTAAGTGGACAAGCCAGTTAGAAAATAATATATATCTAGTTTGAGTTCATTAAAAAAAAAAAAAAAAAAAGAAAAATATGGAGGAGGAGGAGGAGGAGGAGGAGGAGGAGGAGGAGGACAGGAAGGAGACAGGATAGGAAAAAGAAAGAGGGAGAGAGTGAAAAAGAAGGACATGTTTTAAAATGTTTACAACAGGCCGGGCGCGGTGGCTAACACCTGTAATCCTAGCATTTGGGAGTCCAAAACGGGCAGATCTCCTGAGGTCAGGAGTTCAAGACCAGCCTGGCCGACATGGCAAAACACTGTCTCTACTAAAAATACGAAAATTAGCCAGGCCTGGTGACAGACGCCTGTAATCCCAGCTACTAGGGAGGCTGTGGCAGGAGAGTCACCTGAATCTAGGAGGCGGAGGTTGCAGTGAGCCGAGATCGTGCCACTGCACTCCAGCCTGGGCGACGAGAGTGAAACTCCATCTCAATTTAAAAAAAAAAGGTTTGCAATAATTATCATGAGGTAGTAGGTAAGTTCTTTTGATAGGTAAGTTTGCCATTTTTCCTTCTGGGTATTTTCTAAAAATAACAGTTCCTTTAAAAAATAAGAATAATGAACATATACTATTTTTAAAAACAGAACAAACGAATACCACCTCACATCTGTGTGGTGCTTCATTCTGACCTCAGGCACTTCCATCCTCACTTTCCCCTCCTGTGAAAGGTGAAAGGTATGGTTGGGCTCTTTGAGGCCCTTTAAGGCTCTGACCTCCTTTAACATTCTGTAACCCCACACCTTCTCCTCCTCTGTTTAAGCTCTAATACAATATGTTATTCTCTGCGATACACCCATTACACAACATGCGGGAACACATGAAAATCACAAAAAGGAGAGGATGCAATCAGCCACCAGCCTTAGCCACTTTTTGCATTTGGAGGCACGACATTTGTTGCTGGATTGGATCCTTACAAATAATTAAGCAATTAACAGATGAAGAAAGGCTCAGAGAGGTTATACAACTTGCCCAAAGTCACACAGCACATTAGGGCACCATTGGGTCTGTATCTACAAATAAAGCATTATCCTCCAGACGAATCCTTAGTGGTGGACTGAGCGCACCTCCTGGACCCTGAGACCTCTCCTCCTCAGTCCTGGTCCTTTGCTGTGGTCCCAGGACCCTGAGGAGACTGACAGCTGGACATCCCACCCTGCCCTGGCCCTGATCCCAGGCTCCTTCCCCAGAATAAACTGAGCAGGGTGGAGGGGGGGATTGGAGGGAGAATGCTGGCAAGGACTTAGGGGCTGGTGTGGGAGCGGCACTGGGCACAGAAGGTCTCACTTGGCAATGGAGCTGGAGTTCCTGACATTTGGCAAGGAAGCCCAGAGCCAAGATGGAACTGCAAGCTGGGGTGCAGGAGGGACAGGGGAGTGAGAACGTGAGATTTTGCGGGCAGGAAGCCTAGGTCACCTCTGGTAGATCAGCCCTTCACTGTTTTGTTTCAGAACTTATCTGATAACCTCATTTATAGACAGAGGCTTTTCCTTCCCTCGGGCATGCATGTATAAAGTAACAAGATAACGTGTTTGCGCACAGGACATGCTCAGAAACGAGGGGTTAGCTCCTCCTGGCTCCCCTGGTCAACTGCAGCGCCTCCTCCCCATCATCTACCCTGACTCAGCCCCCAACCCCTTGGCACAATGGATAAACCTTCTTAGGGCACCATCCTGTGGGGCTTTTCCCCTGCTTAATGACCATCAGTGGCTCCTGTCACTTTCAGGTTAAAGGCCAGACATTTTGGCCTGGGATTCAGGCTCATACCAACCTGCTCCCAAGTCAGGGGCTGCTGCACTGCATAACTCACACCATAGACTGCAAAAGCCATCTCACAAAGGTTTTCTTCCCAAATCCCATACTTCAGGGGAGCTGCTGTTGGGGGCAGCCCTTCTGGCCTGGCTCTGCTGGGCTCTGCCAAGAAGCCCCCAACTCCAAGCTGCCAAGCAGAAGCAAGGCTGGCCTTCCATCTCCCACCACCCCACCCTTCACCTGCAG